GCTGGGATTACAGGCATGTGCCACCACATCCAACTAATTTTGTATTTTTAGTAGAGACTGGGTTTCTCCATGTTGGTTAGGTCAGTCTCAAACTCCCAACCTCAGGTGATCTGCCTGCCTTGACCTCCCAAAATGCTGAGATTACAGGCATGAGCCACTGTGCCCGGATTCATTTTTCATTTATATTTCAAACACCAACTCAAACCAGAGCCTTGTACTCTTGGACCCACATTTCCCCATTCCCTCCCCACCCCCAGAATCTGGTACCAACTAATTTAATCTCTACTTCTGAGTTCAACGTCTGCAGATTCCACACGTAAGTCAGATCATATAGTATTTGTCTTCCTGTGTCTGGCTTATTTCACTTAGCACAGTGTTCTCCAGGTTTCATCCATGTTGTCAAAAATGACAGCATTTCCTTTCGTTTAAGGGCAGGATAATACTCCATTGTGTATATACGCCACATTTTCTTTATCCACTCATCCGTCAATGAATACTTAAGTTGATTCCATCCGTATCTTGGCTATTGTGAATTATATTGCAATGAATATGGGAGTGCCAATGTCTCTCTGACATACTGATTCCACTTTCTTTGGACACATATCAAGAGTGGAATTGCTGGATCGAATGGTTCCATTTTCAGTGTTTTGAGGAACCTCCATTCTGTTTTCCGTAATGGCTGTACTAATTTGCATTCCCACCAACGGTGTACAAAGGCTCCCTTTTCTCCACACCCCTTGACAACACGTTTTATCTTTCCTTTTTAAATTTCAGAATATTTTTAGACTACATAAAAGTTGTGAAGATAATACAGAGAGTTCCTGTATAACTCATACCCTATCTTCCCTGCCATTAACATCTTATGCTACTCTGGTGCATTTGTGTTAGCTATAGAGGCAGTACTGAGATATCATCATTAAATAATGTCCCTACTTTTCCCAGATTCCCTTAACTTTTGCCTCATGTCCTTTTTCTGTCCCAGGAGCCCATCCAAGATCCCACATTACATTTAGTCCTCGGTTCTTCTTAGGATTCCATTGGCTGTGAGATTCTCAGACTCTCCTTGGCTTCCATGACCTTGACAGCTTTGAGACGTGCTGGTCAGTTATGTTGCAGAATGAGCCCCAGTTGGAATGTTTCTGATATTTTTCTCATGATTAGACTGGGGTTATGGGATGTGGGGAGGAAGCCTGCAGAGATAAAGTGTCACTTTCCTCGTATTCTATCAAGGGGACATGCATGACATCATCATGGATAATTCCCTTTGATGGGGTTCAGGACACGCTAACCCAAAATACGGCACCTTGGCGTTACAGAAAACAGCAGCAGAAGATTATAAAACTTAAACAGGTCGCTCTCTAACCATCCATTCACCTGCCCTTCTCCCTGAAACAGGTCATTTGTGAGCTAGCCTCCTTAGATAAATAAAAGAACATCCGTAACCCTGAAGCCACAGAGATGACAAGAATCTGATCAAATAGGCCTTGTTAAGTTCTTCCAGTTTATGACTATTAGATTATATCCTCTGTCCTTCAATCACACTTTCCTACAATCCTTCACTCATCATCAAACCTAAGCAGACAAATTTTCCTGTTTCTCTGGGTCTTCATTTCTGAAGGCTTTTATGTCCTGTAAAATTTGTACTAAATGTGTGGGCCAGGCAAGGTGGCCCACGCCTGTAATCCCAGCACTTTGGAAGGTGGAGGTGGGTGGATCACAAGGTCAGGAGTTCAAGACCAGCCTGGCCAACATGGTGAAACCATTTCTCTATTAAAAATACAAAAATTAGCCAGGCATGGTGGTGGTGTGTGCCTGTAGTGCCAGCTACTTGGGAGGCTGAGGCAGGAGAATCAGTTGAACCTGGGAGGCGGAGGTTGCAGTGAGCAGAGATCATGATACTGCACTCCAGCCTGGGCAACAGAGTGAGACTCCATCTTGGAAATATAATAAAATAAAATTGTGTGTGCTTTTCTCTTGTTCACCTGTCTTTTGTTATAGGTGCTTTAGCCATGAACTTAGTGATCGGTGAGAAAACAAAATATTTTCTCCCCTACAGCTTAATCCCTGGTGGAGGCACTGTGTGCCAGGGTTCTCCACTGTAAAGTCATTCTTTGGCCTCCCTTTCTATACTACAGTGTTTGGGAGGAAGTCACTACACTCAAATCACCCCAAAGGTGTTGGAGTTAGGCTCCACTGCCGTGACTGTAGAGAATCCACATCAATGACTTGGGATTCTTCTGTATAGGAGATTTGTCTCTTCTTCCTGGAAGGAATGAGACCTTTCTTCTGTGTTCCCGGGTGTGCACAGAGATCTGTTAGACAGCTTGGCGCTTCCCACCCTGGTTAGAATATCCACTGGGGAGCATCTCCCCAGAGCTTGAGAATCAGGTTCAACCTCGCATTGAAGCAGGCAGAAAGAACTCTGGCTGAGGGTTACGTAAGCTGTATTCTAAGCCTTGGTCTTGCCACCTCCCATGGACATCTTGGGTCAATTGCTTTCCATCTTTGAGTGTCTTCTAGTTACCACTGGTGACTAATAAATTCGCCCGGCACTTGGTGGCCTGAAACAATCATTTTATTTTGCTCAAGATTTCGTGTCAGGAATTCTGGAAAGCCTTAGTTGGGGAGCTCTTGCCCAGGGTCTCTCATATAGTGCAGTCAAATGTTGGCAGATGCCAAAGGCATCTGACGGTGCAATTGGTCTGGGGATCTAAAGTGGCTTGTAGTTGCCACGTGACACTGGCTGTCAGCTGCTCAGCTGGGTGGTTGACAACAGCGTCCACACATGACCTGACTATAGGGCAGTCTCAGGGGAGTTGGGGAGTTGGGGAGTTGGACTTCTTATATCACCATAAGCAAGGATGTTCCAGCAAATAAGGTAGGAGCTGCTTCACCTTTTAGGACTCAGCGTCAAAAAGCACAAAGCATTATTTCCTATAGCCCATTGATTTTAAGAAGGTCACTAAAGGCAGCCCAGATTCAAGTAGAGGTGACATAAAACTCATCACTCGAAGGGAGAGGTGTCAAAGAATTGACAGCTGTTAAATACACACACATACATTTATGCACTTTGTATATATTTTACATATTATATATTACATGTACAAATATTGAGTATATATCAGAAGATATATATATATATATATATATGTGTGTGTGTGTGTGTATATATATACACACACACATATAGGCACGGAGTCTTGCTCCATCATACAGGCTGGAGTGCAGTGGCATGACCATAGCTCACTGTAACCTCAAACTTCTGGGCTCAAGTGATCCTCCTGCCTCAGCCTCCAAAGTAGCTAGGACTACAGGTATATACCACCACACCTAGCTAATTTTCCATTTTTTTGTAGTGATGAAGTCTCACTATGTTGTCCAGGCTGGTCTCAAACTCCTGGGCTCAAGCAATCCTCCCTCCTTAGCCTCCCAAGTAGCTGGGACCACAGGTGTGTGCCACCACACCCAGCTCATTTTTTGCATTTTTGATAAAGATGGGGTTTCACCATATTTCCCAGGCTGATCTCAAAGTCCTGAGCTCAAGTGATCCACCCACCTCAGCCTCCCAAAGTGCTGAGATTACAGGTATGAGTCACCATGCCAAGCCTAGAAATATTAGCTTTTATCAGAAGGCTTGAGCCCCACTGGTGCTGTCTCCCTTTTATGAAGGGGGGAAAAGGCATTGTGGTGGACAAGGGAAAGCGTGAGGTTACACAGCAAGCTAGAGTCAGAGCCAGGACTCAAAGCCAGGTGTCCAGGCACCAGTACCTGTGTCTCTTCCTCGAAGTCCACGACCCTGCAGGGGGAAGTAGAGAAGGTGGCCCCGGCTCAGCTGCCAGACAAACCCCCAAACGACCCGGCTCTCCTTTGACACTGCACCAGGGCTTTCTGCCTTCCGTTTAGTAACTTAAGAATGCATTTATTAATCAACCCTCTTCCTGGTGACAGTGCTTGGAAATGAAGATCTTTAGTTTGGGAGTGGCCAAATTTTTAAATTTTTATTTTTTTGAGACAGAGTCTCGCTGTCACCCAGGCTGGAGTGCAGTACCATGATCTCGGCTCACTGCAACCTTCACCTCCTGGGTTCCAGTGATTCTCGAGCTTCAGCCTTCCAAGTAGCTGGGATTACAGGCATGCACCACTATGCCCCATTAATTTTTTGTATTTTTCATAGAGACAGGGTTTGGTCACATTGCCCTGGCTGCTCTCGAACTCCTGAGTTCAGGCAGTCCACCCATCTCAGCCTCCCAAAGTGCTATGATTACAGGCGTGAGCCACCGTGCCCGGCCTGCAATGTGCATTTTCTTATGCATCTTCTGGCAATGTGCATTTTCTTTCTTTTTTTAAATTTAAAGTGTTTTGTTATTTTAAAAAAGGTTTTGTGGGTACATAGTAGGTGTATACATGTATGGGGTACATGAGATATTTTAACACAGGCATACAGAACATAATCACATCAGGATAGATGGGGTATAAATCATCTCAAGCACTTATCCCTTCCTTGTGTTACAAACAATCCAACTTTGCTCTTTTAGTTGTTGTTGTTTTGCCAGTCAGATGGTTTAAATGGATTCTTTATTTTTTGTTCAACTTTTATTTTAAGTTCCGGGGTACACGTGCAGGATGTGCAGGTTTGTTACATAGGTAAATGTGTGCCATGGTGGTTTACCGCACAGATCATCCCATCACCTTGGTGTTAAGCACAGCATCCATTAGCTATTTCTCTTAATGCTTTTCCTCCCCCAGCCCCATCTTTTAGTTATTTTGAAATGTAAGATAAATTATTGCTGACTGTGGTCACCCTGTTGTGCTGTCAAATACTAGATCTTATTCATTCTGGCTCTATGTTCACATCCAGTAACCACCCCCACATGCCATCCAGTCCCCCACTGCCTTTCCCACCCTCTGGTAACCATCCTTTTACTCTATCTTCATGAATATAGTTGTTTTCATCTTAAACTCATATTAATAAGTGAGATAACACACAAAGCTTGTCTTTCTGTGCCTGCCTCATTTTACTTGATACAGTAACCTCCAGTTCCGTCAACCTTGGTGCAAATGACAGGATCTCATCCTTTCTTGTGGCGAATAGTACTCCATCATGTACATGTGCCACATTTTCTTTATCCATTCGTCTGTAGATGGATGCTTAAATAGCTTCACCTTTTGACTGCTGTAAATAGTGCTGCAATAAACGTGGGAGTGCAATGAGCATTTTCTTATGCATATGCTAGCAATGTGCATTCAATCTTTACAATAGTGAGTACCAAGATTATTGTCATTTTGCAGATAGAGAAACTGAGCTTTAGAGATTTAAGATCACATGTCCATACAGATTTATATCCAAATTAGTCTGACACAAAATTTCCTTATGATAAACTATGCATCTTGGCACTTGATTTTATTCCTGAGAGCATTATAATGCTTATACTGTACACTGCATTCACTTGCCTTACGTTGCTCCCTGTCAGACTTCCTCCCAGCCATACTGAGGGTACCTTGAAGTCTGAGACTAAGCTGCTTTTCTCTCTTGTCTGTGGTGGAGAGATACAAATGAATACTTATTAAATGTAACTCCGAATTGACTATCTCTTTGCTTCTGACATGGACATGTAGAGAATTTATAAACTACCTTGTACATTTAGACAAATTGTTTTTCTACAAATATTCTATGGGGTTTAAAAGTAACAGCAAAAGATGTGGCCATTCCTCACAACTGTTATGGCAATAAGGAAATACGCATTCGTGAAATGCATTAATAATCTCCCATCTCCAGAGAGTCAAGAATTTTAACTGTATTGTTTTTCCAGATCCACTGACAAGTTGCGAACTTAAGTGGGGCTCCACATTCTCTTCCAATTCACCACTGACAAAGCCATTTGCAGACAAAGCCAGTCCCACCAACAGGATCTTCTAAATGCAATTTGCAAATCTAGTTACCAGAGACCATAATTCCATCTTTTCTCTTTAGTACCTTCCTTCTTCTAAGCAGTAGACAAGTGTGGGAAAGACGGTGCTAAATTAAGGGTTAGAATACCTGGTTTCTTTGATTTTTAAAAATATATTATTTTAAACTACAGAAAATACTCTTTTAAAATGACAGATGCATATATTCAGAAAATGTGTAGCTCAGTGAAATACTGCGAAATGAACATCCACGTAACCACCACTGAGGTCTTGTGTGAGACACTGGGAAAGTCACTAGAGTAAGCAATGTCTCCAGCTGCTGGAAAAGGATCTTCTCAACCATAATATGTGTAATTAATTCATTTTATTTTTAAAGTTCCAGGGTACGCGTTCAGCATGTGTGGATTTGTTACACAGGTAAACATGTACCATGGCGGTTTGCAGCACCAATCAATCCATCACTTAGGTATGAAGCGCAGCATGCATTAGCCCTTTTCCCTAATGCTCTCACTCCTGACAGGCCCCAGTGTGTATTGTTCCTCTCCCTGTGTCCATGCCTTTTCCTTGTTTAGCTCCCACTTATAAATGAGAATGTGGTGTTTGATTTTCTGTTCCTGCATTAGTTTACTGAGGATAACAGCTTCCAGCTCCATCATGTCCCTGCAAAGGACATAATCTTATTCCTTTTGACAGCTGTATAGTATTCCATGGTGTATATGTACCGCATTTTTTTCTCCAGTCTATCATTGATGGGCATTTGTTGCTTCCAGGTCTTTGCTATTGTGAATAGAGCTGCAATGAACATGAGTGTTCGTGTGTGTTTATAATAGAATAATTTTATCCCTTTGGGTACATACCCAGCAATGGGATTGTTGGGTCAAAGGGTATTTCTGGTTCTAAACATAATATGCTGTTTTTAGTCACTACCTCCTACTCCATGAGTTAGGTGAACTATAATTTATCAACGTCTGTGTTGTTGGGCCTTTAGGTTGTTTGTGTTTTCTTATTTATTATGAATAACCTTTTAAGAAATAGCTTGTTCCTCAATCTTGCTCGTATTCTAGTGATTCCTTAGGAAAACCTCCTGGAAGAGGAATTTCCAGGTCAAAAGGGAATGATTTTAGAGCCTTCTCAAGGCACATAATTAGTATGAAGAAAAATTTTCTATGACCTGAGTTTATTTTGTCATATGAACTCGAGTAATAGAAAACATGTATTCACTGAATGACGATGTTGATTTTGAGACTAGACAATCAAGAGGAAAGCATGCAGGCAAAGAATAGTCTACTTTAGATGCAAAAAGATTTCAACTTGCCATTGTCAAAAATTGTTAGTTTAGTTCAAACTCTCCTGCTTCCACAAGAGGCTTTGAAACAGTTTTAGATGAAAACACCAACATCATGAAGTCAAAAGCCATTACAAGCAGAGCACAATGGCAACAGCTAACTTGCAAAATTGCTTTTAAAAAGCACTCAACACCCAGCTCATAGTGGAAAATCTCTTTTAACGTCCAGCCAAGACCTGGCCACTAGAGGGCACTAACAATACATATTTCCAGCCAGTACCCACACCACAGCAATCGAGGTTGGTTTTCTGTCCTTTTTTATCCTATCAGCCAGAAACACAAAAGGACAATAGCCCTGAGAACTGCCCCAAACCAGTGGGAATCTTCTAGCAAATAGGCCAGAACCTTTGCTGGCATGTGTCTTCTATCTTCCAAAATCTGATAACTTTAATATTCTGTGAAAAAAAACTTGTGGCTTTAACCATGAGAGGAAATCTATCAGCATATGGAGGGAAACAGACTTTGCTCAAAATAACCTGTGGCTTTTTAAACAAAGTTTTCGATGCCTTTTTCACTTCTGATGAATCAGGTTCACTACCGAGTGACATAGCCCTCATCAATTTCCTCTCTGCACCATTTGGCTTCCAAGGAGGTGCTCTTGGCTTTTATTTCCTGCATGTTAAAGGAAATTTAATAAGAGTGATGGTTTAATGTGTAGCCAAATATCACAGAGCCTATAACTGGAGTGTTTTGTAAGGATTAATAATTCATATGAAATGGGTACACTAGTGGATGATGCGCTTATTCTTGGTATCCCTAAAAAGAACTCCAAATCTCCAGGCTCCTTGAGCTGAGAGATGGGCAACAAATAGTAATGAATTGGAAGAACTGAATGCTTTCTAAGTCCCACAGTGTTGGGGTTGCTAATATTGCAATGTTAGCATCTGTGTCTGTTTGCTGCGTCTCTCAACAAAATACACACCTGGCTTCACTGAGGAGGACAGAAATACCCTTAGACATTTACCCTATGCCTCAAACCAAAGCAGGCTCTCTGAGCAGTCTAAGTTTTCTTATTGACCAGGCTTCAGATTCCGAGCCTGGCTTCAAAGAGAATTCAGCTCCTCCGTGAGCAGAGGGGAGAGGAAGAAATCAGTCATTGACTTTAAATTGCCCTGTAGCTTTTATTCTTAATTGAAAAGGTGCCTGGAATTCTGATGTTTCCCCCAACATTAGGACCAGAGAGGAGGTGCAAGTAAAGGAATTTGGGTCCACTTTTGAAAATGGAGGTGCGTAACCACTCATGAGCCCCTACTTTAGCAAATGAAGCTGCCCCATATTCAGAAAATATCTTCTTGGTGGCCTCCTTGGCTAGAAAGCCATATGTCTTCATTTTAATGGTCTCTTCATTTATCCTCAATGAGTTTCTGCACCTCTGAGCTTCAGTCTTTCTGGTTATCAGCAAACCACAGGAGCCTGATAATTTTGGAAGGGGCACATTCCGATGAGAAAATACCTATCTCCATAACTTTCTGCCACGAAAGAAGAAGAAAATGCCTTGGCAAAGATAAATGACCCCAGTTTTCATGCAGATCCGACATCCGTCTTGGCAAAAACTAAAACCAGTTTGCAGGAATTAAAAACGTGGCAAGGAGGTTAGACAGTCATTCCAGCAGACGAAGGTCCGTGAAAAGATAAGCTTAATTCTTTGGAAAACGAGGCGCTCTGACCACCAATGCCTTGACGTTCTTCACATCCTTTTTCTTTTTTTGAGAGAAATTTCTTCTCTATGCTTTCCTTTTCTTGCTTGAATGTTTATCCATGGAAATGGTTGGTTATTTAAACCAATAACAAATCTCTAATATTGCTCTTGGCTGAAAACTTCTGAGAGAGGATGTGACAGAGACTTTCTTCAGAAAACAAGCACGTGAACTTCTAGGCTGCCAGGCAGTACCTTAGACCCCATTAGAGCACAAAGAGAAAGAAACACATTTAATCAAAGAGCCCTTTCCCACACCCTCCCCTTTTCCCTAGTCAGTGTTTTGAATCCGATGAGTGTTGTGTCAATGTTGGTTCCTAAGTTTGTGGTTTGTCAGAAGGGTTCAAAGGAAGCGTCTGATATTTGGATGTAGTATAACTCAGTGGAATGTCTTGATCGTGTCTCAGAAATGGTCTCTACCATGAGGCAACAGGTCAGTGATGGAGGCCAGAAAAATAAAAGACTGCCCAGATTCTTCGGGGTAAGTTTACTCTCAAGATGGAGCTTCACAACCATCAGGCTGAGGAAGTCCTCTCTGTATTGCTGGCTCTTCTCCTGCTTTTTCTTGGATGTATGTGTGTGTTTAAATCTTCTAAGATAACTGGTCTTAAAGACCCAGAGCTTGAAAGTAAAAACTTAACATTGGAACAGAAAAGTTCCCAAGATATGGGCTGCAGAGGATTTTACCATAAATTTAAAATGTAGTGCATTTTCACCTAGTGTGGACACTTAAAACTGAATGCCAATAAGTCTCCTGGGAACCAGATAAGAATGATAAAGGGAAGGGCTTTTAAAACTTTGTGTAGAATCACATAGACGTTTAACACTGAATTAAACAGAAGCCTGAGATGCACACATAGAATCTAGAGAGATCAGGTGGCTTGCCCAGGCGCACTTTATAACTGGTAGTGATGATGGTGGGGATGGTGATGGTGGGGATGATGGTGGTGATGGTGATGGTGATGGCGGTGGTGATTATGGTGGTAATGGAGGTGTTGATGGTGGTAGTGGTGGTGATGACAGTCATAATGATAGTGGTGATGGCTGGTATTAGCGTTGATGATGGTGGTGATGGTGATGATTGTGTTGGTGAGGTGGTGGGGGTTATGGTGGTGGGAGGGATGATGGAAGTAGTGATGGTGATGATAATTGTGTGGTGGCGGTGGTGGTCAATATGATGATGCTCTGGGGGTGACAGTAGTTGTGGTGGTACTGGTGGTGAGGATGACAGAGGTGGAGGTGATGATAAAGACTAGATTTCCGAATCTGAAGGTTTCTAGTGCCTAACTCTCTTAGACCTTTAACCTGGTATGTTTTATCAAAGAATGTTGGAGGTAAAAGTAGACTTGTAGGAGAATACACAGAAGGTTGTAAGGGTGGTGTCAAGTTTTAATGTTTAATGTGTCAAGTTTACTGTATTTTTTCATGATAAAAATAATAATACTCATTGAAGTATATATGAAAAATATATAAAAGTTACAGGATAAATAGGTATATCTGAGATGTACAATTTCAGGGCATGTTTGCTTCTGGTTTTCAATATGTATGTTTTGAAGGACATTTTTAAACTACATATTGGTTTTGTTTTTATAATCTGGAAAAAGAAAGGGTTTAGAGTGTCATTGAGAGCCCTTATTGTAATGCTTTCCTGACACAATAGTGTCTATATAATTATTCTGATATGATAAATAAGAAAACTGAGAGTCTAACTTGCCTCAATATCTCACCAAGAATAAATGGCAGGGCCAGAATTAAATACCAGGTCTCCCCCGCTCCAAAGTGATGCTCATATCCAGTGTATGTCACTGTCTCCTGACGGTGGTCCTTTGGGTCATCGCAGAAACAGTGTCCCCAAGGATGACAACTCAGGGATGTGACAGCGATCTGGCTACAACGTCTGCCACCCCATTGATCACCAGGGTTGAATTGGCTGATCTCTACTGGCTGGGAGGGTGTTCTCCCTCACCACTCCATGCGCATTCCTCCCAAAACTGCCCGCTCAGTCAAGGAAGATGACTCTTACTGAGAGAAGAAGACTGTACTTCAGCCAAGGGTGTAGGAGTAGCTGCTCCGCCCTCCTAGAATCTCCAGACAAGCCCTCCGGAAGCCTTAGAATGTGGTCTTCTGATAGTTTTTATAATTCAAGCTTCTCAGACCACCTCATCCTGAGTTTTGTTCTAAAGCAAATGTTGCTTTAGTAAGATTCTTTTGAACCTGGGGTCTAGTCTTCCTGGAATCACAGTCTTTTAAGAATTGGACATGTTCTTGGCAGCCTTCTATTCCAAACTCTATCCTTGGTGCAGAAATGCTTTCTTAAGATTCCAGGTATATGGTCTTCACTTTGTTCATGAATGCTGCCTTGACAGAGAGATCTTGCTCTCTGACAAAGACACACGCACATGCATGCGCGTGCACACACACACACACACACACACACACGAAGACCTCTATCTTTTAAAATCTCAACCACATGTTGAGATGAAATTGACTTCACAAGTAAACTTCATCAATTATTCAGAAGGAGGCTGTTTTCTTTTTAACAGCACAATTCTCTACATACTTGTGGGCAGCAGCTTCTGTCCCCAGGACTGGCAGTCACAGACCGCTTTATCTGTCTCAGCTTCCTGGATCCCTTTCTCTTGGTATTTCTTGTCCTTCACAAACACTGGAACCCCAGACCTGAATCCTCAGGCTGTTCCCAAAAAACAAAACTGTGGTTCAGATGCTATTCTGTGACTGTAGCCCAACATGCCTCTGAGTAATTATTTTATCTTAATTAATTAATTAAATTATTGAGATGGAGTCTTGCTCTGTCACCCAGGCTGGAGTGCAGAGGCATGATCTCAGCTCACAGCAACCTCCACCTCTTGAATTCAAGTGATTCTCCTGCCTCAGCCTCCTGAATAGCGGGGATAACAGGTGCACACCACCCTGCCTGGCTAATTTTTGTATTTTCATTTAGTACAGATGGGATTTCACCATGTTGGCCAGGCTGGTCTTGAACTCCTGACCTCAAGTGATTCACACGCCTCAGCCTCCCAAAGTGCTGGGATTACAGCCATCAGCGATCATACCTGTACAGCTCTGAGTTATTTCTTTAAACAAATTTATTGAGATATAAATCACACACATCATACAATTCACTATTGAAAGTATACAACTCAATGGTTTTCAATATTTTTACAAATATAGACAACTATCACCATGGTTCATTTTTGCGCATTCAAAAAGAAACTTTGTGCCCTCTAGCTATGATTCCCCTAACCTCTGTCCCTCCCAGCCCCTGGCAACTGGACATACACTTTCTGTCTCTATAGATTTTCCTGTTCTAGACATTTTATATTAATGAATCATGCAATATGTGGTTTTTTATAACTAGTTTCTATATTCATTCATTCTCACTCTGCTACAAAGATACTACCAGAGACTAGGTAATTTATAAAGAAAGGAGGTTTAAGTTACTCACAGTTTCACATGGCTGGGGAGGCCTCAGGAAACTTACAATCACGGCAGAAGGCTGAAGGGAAAGCAAGGCACATCTTACATGGCGGCAGGAGAGAGAGAGAGGCAGAAGGGGAAAATGCCAGATGCTTATCAAACAACCAGATCTCCTGAGAGAATTCACTCACTCTCACAAGAACAGCAAGGGGGAAATTTGCCCCCATGATAAGTCACCTCCCACCAGTTCCCTCCCTCAAAACGAGGGGATTACAATTTGAGATGAGATTTGGATGGGGACACAGAGCCAAAACATATCTACTTCTTTCAGTCAGCATCATATTGTCTATGTTCATTCAAGTGTGGCACATATAGGTACTTCCCTCTTTTTATAGCCGAATAATATTTAACATTTAAACTTGAGTTTAAATTCATTACTTAATGTTACCTAGCAATATTCCAAATTTTAGATTTTTTTAAATCATGCAAATCTGAGATATTCTTTTTATCATCTCCAAACAGGGCTGCCTTCAGGATCATTATTGGCGATAAGATGGACAGAGGTGTCTTCAAAGCCAAGTTTGACACTGAAACAGTGTTTTCCCAAAGTAAGTTCTCCAAGTATCTATTTCCATGAGATAGGAATAGATATGAAAAAGGAAGCCATCACCCAGAGGGCATGGACCACTTCAGTCTCTTGGTCTGTTTCTACCCAGAGACTAAAGAAATGCCACGTTTCTGAGGCAATGGGATCCTGTGGGTCCTGGGAGATGGGGGCATAGGGACCCAGTGGGTCGCTTGCACTACACCAGGTTTGAAGACTGATCACCAATCTCCCCCTGCCACTGGAGTAAAGGTCTTGAGCAGACAGCAGCTTTCTGGAAAGAAGTTCCTCCTTGTTTCTCTTCCTGGTTCTTGGGGCACATCTTCCACCATCCCATAGGAATCAGTGCCAAGGACTAAGGTGACTTTGGCTCAGTGAGAAGCTGCAGTTGTTTTCCACCCAAATTCCATGTCACAAGAATTCTTGGCTAGCAGATGAAAGATGGGTAAGCGTGTATATGAGACTGGAATCTTCTGCTTCCCCTGTAACACATTCACCCACCCCACTATTCTTTGCTCTGACAGGAAGAAATTTTACCCAGATATCAGAGAGGCCAACTTGGCAATGGTATTCTCCAGGAGGTCTTTGTTTTATTTCAAGTTTAAATCAGAAGGGATCATGCAAACTCTAAGACCCCCTTACTGGGCTTAAAACATTTTTCTTTAAGAGAAAGATCAAAGATTCAGGACCTCAGGGAGAAAGGGTTGGAGGGAAAAATAACGGCAAAGCATGGGTAGAAATGTTCGTGTGGCTTAAAAGACAGGCCGGTTTAATACCTTCTTTTATTATAACTGTTTTTCCTCAGGTAGACCCCAAATATCTCCTCATAGCCATGTAATCATTGCAACATTTGGAAAGTGCTTTGTAGCAGTTTATAAATCGCTTGCACATATATTCTTTCTCCTCTTCCTCCTCCTCCTCTTTCTTCTCTCCTTTCTCCTTCCCCTGCTCTCCCTCCTCCACCTTTTCCTTCTCCCTTCCTATCTCTTTTTGCCTTTCTGTCTCTCTATCTCTTCCTCTGCATTTAGATCCTCACAACAATCCTTCAAAGAACTTGTTACCAGCAAGAAAAACTGAGCCTTGGGCCAAGAAAGAGACTTGCCTCCCAGCTAGTAAGAGGGCCCAGCTAGGCTTTTCAGACTCCCATGCTAACATTTTCTCTCTGCTCTACCAAGTAAAGTCTTAAGAACAGAATTCTGAGACTCCCTGGGCAGTGGGTTGTGGGTTTGGGGGTTGGGGTCTGCTAGTTATGGAAACAAAGGCACTCACAGAAGCCTGAAAGTCTCTCTGCCCTTGTTAATTCTTAATTAAGTGCATCGCCTCCTCCTCATCCCAAATCAGCCTCCTAGAGACAATTATATGATTTTATTTTGTTTTCTTTGTCTGTTTGTCTGACCTGCTTATCTCTCCTGCTTTAAAGTCAGCTTCTAAAGTGCACATTAAAGGTGATTAGAAGACTCGGGCTGTCCTCGGTCATTAGTGAGTGCTTTGGAGGGAGTGCTGCTTCCACCGCGCAGTCCCGGTCCCTTCCATCATGCATCACTGACTGCCAGCAGGCCTGCCCGTCTCTCTGGCTTCCCTCACCAGTGTCTGCCCCGGATCGAGCTGCAGATCGGAGGGGCTGGAGACGAGTTTAATTTAAAGACGAGCCCCCCTTGTGCTGCTAAAGGAAATGGCGTGTCAGCTACGTCAAAAATAGATACTGTTGCGCAGATATATGGACAGGGAGGTGGACGCCGCCCCTGCCATTCATTACCTGGATTGCCTTTAAATGTCAAAACAAATCCTTCTCCGGTCCTTCTCCAAAACTTAAATCATCAAGAGAGACAGGGTCAGCCTCTGCAGTTTGGAATGCTGGAGGAGAGGGGGATGGGGTGGACGCGATGGGGGTGGGGGTGGGGTGGAGAGGGCTGCCCATACATCTAGGTATCTATGTGTGTCCTGAGCAAAGATTTTCCCTGCTCCCTTCTGAAAGGTTGTCCAGATTGGAGCCTGCCCTTGCTGTCCGGAGATCGACTTCACAATTCCAGGCGGGTGCCTCTAGATGTATAATATACATATGGATGTGGATGTGTATAAAAGTAGTAAGGCATACTGTGTGTGAATATTAACAGCCGATGTGAGCATGAGTGGTGAGTAATAGCATGGCACACACGTGACAAAAGTTACCCAGGTTTATACTCATCAATGCTTTTTATGTGCAGGGCATCTGATGTTCATCTCATTTAATGCTAGAGCAACCCTATGAGGTTTATAATTTCCATTTTTCAGAGGAGAGAACTGAGGCTTGGAGAGGTCGAAGTACCTGTTTGGGATTGCACGATACTACCAAGTGGCAGTACCTCAAAGCCTGTAGTCTGAGGCTCAACACGGGATACGTCACACAAAGTTGAGACTAGAATTCTAGCATGAGGAGAGAAATGCAATGACTAGCTTATATTGGCATGGATGTTTTAAAGCCAAAGAATAACTGGATTGTAATAAGCAAAGTAATTTATATTGATTGAAAAAAATCAGTACATGCATAGGAGGCTGGGAGTGTGAGCCAGACTCCCTGGCTTCAAACCCTGCTATTTCCTAACCACGTGCCCTTGAGCACATCATCAATCTTTTTGCTCCACAATTTCCTCATCTGTAAAATAAGGATAATAACAATACCTTCCTCTTAGAGTGGTCAAGGCAATAAAATGAATTGATACAAGTCAAGCACTGTAATAGTTTTCAAGCATAAGATACACTTTTAATAAATATTAACTACAATTAAGCACACATGTATTTAGTTTATTCTGTTTTTTAAATCCTCTTTACTAAGTAACCATACAGCTTCCATGTTAAAGAATTCTGAACCATTTAGATTTTTTCTGAAAATGTGGGAATATCAGATAGATGGATAGACAGATAGGAAATCTGTTTTGCAGCATTTAGATATTTGAAGAAATCATTATATTCTGGGTTGCAGATGCATATATAAAAATACTGGCATTTTTCAAGTATAATTAAAATTCTATAATTATAAATATATTTTTGAAAACAATTCAAATGTCCATCGTCTGGTAAATGGATTCATAAAATGTGGTTGGTTTAGTATATCCATACCATGCAATACTGCTCATCCAAAAAAAAAGAACAAAGAATCGATGCATATTCTAAAACCTTATGCAGAGTGAAAGAAGCTAATAGCAAATGACTTCATATTGTATGAAACCACTTATATGCAGTGCTCAGAAAAGGCAAATCCATGGAGACGGAAAGCAGATTAGTATTTGTCTGGTTCTGGAGGTCTAATTTTATCCTATGAGTAATCTTGGGAGAGCACAGATGCTCCCATGCTGTGAACCGACCATGTGCTCTGTCTTGGCTACCAGTTCTATCTGGAGCCAAGGGCTCTACTGTGTAACGTTTCAGAGTTTGTCCTATCTCTCTAACCCTGAACTTGCTCAATCTTCTATCCCTAAGCTCTAGTGACCATGCTCTGCAAGTAAGTCGCATCGGACAAACTCTGGATTAATGTTCAGTGCCCCAAGCTGGGTTCCTGCGAGGTGTGCTCATCTGTGCCTCTCCAGCCTGTCGCAGATTCGGGACCAGAAAAGGTTTTATAGACAGCCTCTGAAGGAGTGTTTCTCAGCCTCTGCACTAGTGACATTTGGGGCTGGATGATTATTTGTTGGAGGAGGTGTGGGCGTCCTATGCCTTGTAGGATATTTAGAAGCATCCTTGGCTTCTACCCACTAGGTACTAGTAGCAACCACTGCCTTCCCCAGCCCCAAGTGGTGATAATCAAAGATGTCACCAGCTATTGGCCAGTGCTCTTGGAGAGACAGATCACTCCCAGTTGAGATCCACTGTTATAGAGAATCATCTCTTGTGTGTTTTTTTCCCACCTCTCATCTTGGTGCTCAAGGACTTTGGTTACATCATAAGGTTAATCAAATCTGATTGGCTGAGGAAAAATCTGCCTAGGGAAATATTTGCATTTTTATTTAGGACAAAGTCACTTCTTGTTGACAGATATATTCATGACCAGAATTTATTAAGTTGCATAAATAAAACCAATCTATATTGTGTGATTACAAAGTCATTATATTTTTTTATTTAAACAATCAAGTGTTACAACAATATATGATTTATACAGTAAAAGTTTCCTGGAAATCCCATCCATTTAGGAAAACCCAATTAACATTTGACCTATGGGCTTCCATACGAATGTACTCAAATGCAATATATATATATAATATATATATATATTTAAATAAGAACTTACTATGCACATTCTTTAGAATCTTTTCCCTACCATGGAAAAGGGATGTTTTACTGTATTAGTCAGCTCTTGCCATAACAATGCTTCATAACAAAATTTCCCCAAAGCTCAGTGGCTTAAAACTTTTACTCATTCTCAGGCTTACAGGTCTGTGGGTCAGCTGCAACTCAGCTCAGCTATGCAGGACTTCAGCCTCCAGGCTGAGTTCAGGTCTGGCTTCCAGTTACCATCCAGGTTATGTGATCTGGTCCATGTGTCTCATTCTGGAGTCCAGGCTGAAAGGGCAGTAACTACCTAGGACTTATTTTTCTTTCATGGTAGGTAATCAGAGTGCAAGAGATCAAAATCAACTGCACAAGCACATTCTAAGCTTCTGCTTCCATCATATCTACTAGCTTCCCTCTGGTCAAGACAAGTTACATGGCCAAGCCCAGAGTCAAGTTGCGGGGAAACGTACTCTCAACCACAGCAAAGGTGTGGACATGTGACACGACCTCAGAGGAGTGGATAACTGGGACCAGCCATTTAACCTACCACTTTTAGAAGAGAGGTACAGACATGACATGGTATCCTTGTCTTGTAATCAGACCTTGCCTGACACAGTGCTCACATCATCCCTCCCTCTTCCCAGCTATTTTATGTAGCTTGGTGGCCAAGATTTGTACCAATAGCCATAGAATCCATCCCCAAAGAGACGAGTAATCTGACATTGGGCAAGTTACTTAACATTGCTGTTTCTCAGTTTTCTCATTAAAAAATAGTGACAAAGCCACCTAAGCTGAGAATCCACACATGTCCAGCAGCAACAATGGGACTACTGAGGGGAAGCTTGAGAGGGAAGATGGTGGGAGGGAGAGGGGTCCATGGGAAAGCCTGCCTCCGTGTAACTATACCCTCCTTGGGTCCAGTTCCAAGTTCGTGGTGGAAAGACTGGGTCTGCTGTTGGTCAACAGGAGCAACAGAGCTGCAGAGAACAGAGGAAAGTGAGGGCATGCTGGGACCTGCTGACCTCTCTGCATTTGTCACCTCATCTAACCAGGGTGGCTCTCTAAGGCTACTGGCTGCTGCTTCATCTATCCTTCCACTCTTAGAGAAATCCAGTGCTTGACTAAGTCTAATTTGGACCTGAAGACCAAAGGAACTCTTGGAAGCTCAATTCCAGCTTAACCAAGTTGACACTCTAAAAACCACACCATAGTCCAGAAATAAATTTGTTGACTCTGTAATATCCACTCAGAGCCCTACTATGTGGTGCTGAACCTATTAAGAAGACACAAAGTACTGTTTGTGGTTGGATACAGGGGCTCATGCCTGTAATCCCAGCACTTTGGGAGTCCAAGGCAGGAAGAGCACTTGTGCCCAGGAGTTCAAGACCAGCCTGGACAACAGAGTGAGACTCTGTCTCCACAAAAATTTAAAAATTAACCAGGCATGGTGGTTTGCATCTGCAATCCCAGGTACTCAGGAGGCTGAAGTGGGAAGGTCACTTGAGCCCAGGAGTTCAAGGCTATAGTGAGCTATGATGGCACCACTGCACTCCAGCCTAGGTGACAGAGTAAGACTCTGTGTCTCTAAAATGAGCAAAAGTACTATTGTGCCTTTTGTCTGAAATTTTGCAGTAGAGACAAGACACAGATCATGAACCATTAAGAGACCTCATGGATATTCAGTACACAACCAAGTACATATGACTAACGTCCTGTAATCCGAATGGAGGAATCTTTGATGTTTCTGAAGTGTTGTGATCTTTGACAAAGGCAAGGAAAAGTGAAAGTTAGCAGTGGACAGATACTGGGTTTCCCACATGTGATAGATGGAGTTGTTACTGGCAATATAAGCTCCCTCTATTGGATATATGTATCCACACTCTTTGACATGTGATTTTGCAATATTTTCCACAAGAATGAGTGGACTATAGTTCCTTGCCCCACTTTTATTAGTCTTGGTATGTGACGTGCTTTGGCCAATGAAATGTTAGGGGATGTGAGGCAAAGAGAGGCTATAAATGTTCGGTCCTTATGCTTCCATCCATCATGTTAAGAACATGTCCTGAGTGGCCACTGGTCCAAGAAGGAATGAGAGAGATGATAAATCAGACCTTATTTCACTCTTGAAATGGAGCGCTCCCAGCTGAGCCCAGCCACAAGCAGCTGAACTATGGTCGGCTCCTGGATTCTTGAGCAAGAAATAAATTCTTGTTGCTTTAAACCATTGGATTTGGTAGTGAGGGAGAGATCTGTTGAATGCAGAAAGCATTCTTGCAGTACCAGCTGGCTAATGTACCATGGAACCCACTTAGTGATGGATTTGGAAAATTTTGAGATCTACTAAAATGTCATGATCCCCATGTAAGGAAATTCAGGTGCAAAAAGCGATAGCTCAGTGTAGCATATGGAAATGCATGTGAGTAGGTCACCAACATCCACTTTCTATTAGAAGGTCTGACTGAGAGTAGTGGAGCAGGAGATTGTACCTTTAAAACAAACCACCGCACTTTAGGGCCTCCTCAAGTTCTCTACAGAGCTTGCATGCACATGTACCCTTCCCTCAAAATAGTATGGCCCCACACCCTGTGATTTCTTCATGATATTTATTGTTCAGTTGAGTTACACTTTCTGTAGAAAACTGGGAAATAAAATAAAACAATAAAAAAATTAACCTAATTCCACCACCCAGAGATCCCTTCTGTAAGCTTATAAGCACACAGTCTTCTATATGCATATGTTTTTCCTAACAAAATGAGATCATAAAATGTGCACTGTTTTATAACCCACCCAGTCTCCACCTACAGAGAAAGTATACGTATTTACTTTTTGTAATAGTTTCCTAAAACATTAAACATAGTGACATAATCTAATCGACCAGTTTCCAATTGCTGCATACCTACATTTTTTCTGATTTCCTTCTATTGTTAATAACACTGCAATGAACATCTTATACCTAAATATTGGTACAGAGTTCTGATTATTTCTTTAGAATAAATTCCTAGCAGTAGAATTACTGGGTATCAAGGCTTTTAAAAAATGTTATAAATTTTATCCCCAGAAAGGTCTATTGATGTGTACTTCTCTCCTCGGAGTTTAAGAATGGGTACTGAGGCTTCATGAAGTCAAGGAATTTCAGACTTAGTCCACATTTTCAGTTATCAGTGAAGTTTATCAAAACCTTTCAGCCTGAGCTCCAGCAATGGTTCATTTATGCAATAAATATTCAATAAATATTTTTAGAGTGTACACTATGTGTCAGGCAGTGGTGATATGGTGGTGAACAGAACAAAAAGAAATTTTTGCCTTGGATATTTAAGGTCCAAAGAAAAAGCCAACGTGAAAAGATTGGCTACTTTTGGGTCTGACATACACTCTCAGGGACTCGTTTCTCCAAAATCACGGAGCAGTCACTTTGAGCAGATCCACTTTCCCGTTGTTTTGAAGATTCTGTTGTTCTCATCCCAGACAACCCAGAAGAAAGTCAAGGAGGTGGGTGAACTCTCCTCAAGTGAAAAGGAGAAGTCCTGACAACCCCCCTCTCCTTGAAAGTGAAAGGGAAAAAACCAAATGAAATAGGTCAAATAAATTTAGAGCTGCCCACCCCATCCGCCCAGGAGACGCCGCCTGGTGTTGTGATTTCATAAACCATGGAGCACTGTGCGGGGAGTTTGGGATGATGTCACCTGAACACCAGGATGTATTTATGGCTGCATGCCTACGGCTACCTTTCACTTCTTCTCTTTGGGTAAATACATCATGGGCCCATCATGGTGAAGCCAGCGAGTGCTGGCTGAGTGGTTTATGGTTGTGCCTGCGCTGGGAAGTGTGTTTGCACGACTGCTTGGCAGATCCCTAGGTGTGAGTTTCTAAGATGCTGGGCCCTGGATCCAAAAACCAGGATATCATGGAGCCTGCTTTTGTCTCTTTCAAGATGTTTCCCTCCCCCTCACTTCCAGCCCCTGTCCTCAGTGTCAGCAAAGCCCACTCCCCTGTCTCCCAACTTTTCTTTCTTGGGTGATAGCCAAAGAAAGAAGCAAACCTCCTCATCGACCTCCCTGAACCAAACTCAAAAGCCCTTCAGCTGACACCTCTGCTATGTTGACCTTTTGACTTTTGATTTGGGTAAAATTGAAGGTAAAAGAGACATGAATCCGGCAACTGAATTTGATTTTTTAGGCAGTTTGAGGAAAAGGGGTGTCCCCAGGAGATGACAGCGGACATGCTGGGGAGAGGACAGAGCAGAGGGACCTTGGGAAGGACCAGCTCCCCTGGGAAGACTTTGCTGCCTCAATTCCCAGGTGAGTTAGTTTTCTGTGCTCACTTCTGACATAGACTCTATCACGCTTCAAAATAACACAGGATGGGGATGGTCAAAAATGGGGTCCATTCACGCTGCACACAATCTGTACGCAACAAAAGCTTATTTAAAAAGTGAATTCATGAGCAAATGAATGAGCAAATGAATAGAAGGTTCTCCCTCAGCATCTGAGCTTCTTCCACTTACCATTTAACTTGGTGTTTTGCCCATTCATCCAACAAAATGTAGGGAACCTCTGACTGTTCATCAAGCTCTAGATTACATTCGTATCAGTTACTCACACGATAAACATTTCCCGAGTGCCTACTGAGCATCAGGTTCTGTGTTTGATTCCAGTGCTAAAATGTGATTAGTAGTTCCCAGTTTCATGATGTGCAGTGGAGACTGGAGAAAAACATCATCAGGCAATTTCAATTTCAATTTTTTCATGAATGGGGAAATTGCACTATGCAGGAGGACAGAAAAGGGAGTCCTGAATCAGATGGGGGAGGTGTGTCATGAAAGTCTATTTAAAAAAGAAAAGAAGGGGGCTTCTTATAGACTTGTTTTTAGAAGAGACTTCTATTAGCTGTCTGGCTCAGTTGTCAACACACAGAACTCCTTGGCCACCAAAGAGATCACATAGTATACCTAATAATAATGCCTCCCATTTAAAAAAATTGCTGCCATTAAAAAAAAAAAAACTGAGTTGGCAAGGATCTGAATGAATGAGACTTCCAGGCCACTGTTTAGAAAACGGCAGGATAAAATGGTGCAGCTGTGTTGGAGAGCAAACGAACAATAGACTTCTATAAGATGCACATACATTTCAACCAAGCAGTTTAACACCTGCTGTGGCTCCCAGAGGAACTCTCATATATATGCACAGATAACTATATACAAGAATATCCATTGCAATATTGTTTGTGATGCTAAAATCCTGGAAAATGCCAACATGGTCATCCACAGGAAAATAAATGTATAAACTGAGGTACATACGTTCAGTAGAATGCACCATAGTGGTTATGAAAAACAGCTAGAAATGCATGTGTCAACATAGGTCTCAAAATTACAGTGTTAAGCAAAATTTGCACAAGAATATGGGCAGACTTTTTAAATGTCTGAAACAATATCATATAGTACATAATATATATGATTTAAGGATAAATACATACATCCAGGGTAAGAATGTGAAGATATGCATATGAATGATAAGCCTCAAAATCAGGATGGTGGTTTCCCTTGGAGAGGGAGGAGAAGATAGGCAATTAGGGAGAGTTATGTAGGAGGTTCCACTTGCATTTAAAAGTTTTTGTTTTCTAAGCTTGGTGTTGAATATATGAGAGTTTATTATATATTATTTATTATCTGTTTATTATTTATTGTGCTCTATACTTTTATGTGCTTGCAATATTTCAAGATGTAAATTTTAAAATTCTGCTACATATATATATTATGTCCTTTGCATCTCATGGAACCTTGTGAAATAGAAAAGCAGGGGTTGTTATTTTCCTGACTGGGGTTTTTAAACTCATTGTGTGGATTATTTAAGAATCACCACAGCAGCACTATGAGGCAGTTGTGATGATTGTCACTATTTCACAGATGAAGCCACTGAGGCTCAGAGAGGGAGCAGCTTGCCCAACTCATATATTTATGGCAAGCTGGGGCAACAGGATTTGAACTCATGACCCACAGCCTCTTTGCTCAGGGGGCATAGAGTGTAGGAGTTAAAAGGGTCACCTCTAACACATTCTTAGGATAAACTCCCAGCTCTACCTCTTTCTACCTGTATGACCTTAAGTAAGCAGGCAAGCTTATCTCTGTGTCTCAGTTTCTTTACCTGTGAAATGGGGCTAATTATAGTAACTGCCTCATGAAGCTGTGTCATGAGGATTAAAACCATTCGGAAGCACTTAGAAAAGTGCCTAGCACACAGCAAATGCTACAAAAATAATTCCTTGTTATTGTTTCTAATTAGCCCTGAACACTACGCAGCAGGTGACCTTCCAGCCATGCTACCATTAGGCATTGCTTGGAGCTGGGTGGTGGTCAAGTGTGGGCTTCCAGCGTAGGGAATGAGAGGACTTTCAAAGATACGAGGGCCCATAATTTGGCCGGCAGATGAAAAGAATTGGTGATAGATTCATGAACCAGGCACTTCTCCTCCCTCCATTTGTTTTTCAGCCTTTCCCCCTCATCATCACTCACTGGCTCTATAAACAGACTTCCCAGTAATCGTTTTCCTTCCCTTTGAAGTCTCCCATCCATTCTCTCCTCACTCTTAGCCCACTCCCCTTCCTCTCCAAGGAGGACCTCGTGTTGGCAACAGTTTCCAACTGGACCAGGTGGAGATGCAGTTCGTAACATCCTCTAGAAAGTTAGGTCAGTTCCATCCAACACGTGTCTCTGAACACCTACTGGGTGCATTGGAAAGAACTTGGCTGAGGAAAGAGAGTCACAAGGGATAGAAGAGAAAGGCCCAATCAACTAGGCTGGAAACTGGGTTTTGTCAGAACATCTCCTGGAAATCTTCTTCATCTTTCTAAGTCTCAGTTTTCCCATCTGTACAGTGGGGTTGGTGTATGCACCAACCTCACAATTATATGGGAAGTAAGTTATACACTGTATGTGAAGCATTTGTCACCATTCCAGGAATGAAACAGAAGCTCAGCTAATGACAGTTTCCTTATTACTGTTGTTACTGGTGTGATGAAGAAGGAAGACATTTGAATAATGTCCAGCTCCTGGTCTAGAAGATTCAGTGAGTAGAGTGGCCATCTGCTTAGATCCAGAGCCAGGAGAAATCCAGGTCTGGAGGGAAGAAGATAATTCCATTTGGAACATGTTGAGTTTGAGATAGCTGAGTATGGGCCACATGGAGATATCAAGAGTGCATCTGGCAACACAGGTCTGGAGTCTTCGGGCTCAAGTCATGGAACAGTCATAATTCCTGGGATCCTGACTCCCACTTTTTGCAGTGACCATACAAACCCACTTCTAGAAGCTTGCACATGCACACAAACATCTCTGAGCCAAGTCCCAGAGGTTTGTCACTCAAAGGAAATAACCCAGTTTAGAAAATGACCAACTATAATGCCCTCTTCAGCAGAAAATAAAATCCAGCACCTTCTCCTGCAACTAGAGAAGGAGACCCAGAAGAAGGGGCAGTGATGTTTCAGGGAGCTTTTCATTTCCAAGAGCTCATAACACACCTGAGATACATCCCACACATATTCCACCATGAACAGTCCAGGGTATGCATCTACATACTATTGAGTAGGTACCAGCTACGTGGCCCAGAGGAGGACAATGGTCTCTGGGAAGGCTGGTCCATTGGCCCAAGGGTCTCCTTGATCAATAGGAAGGACGTGGCTGGAAGTGAGAGAGTGGGACTCCTGAAGACTGGTATTTGGGGAAGGCTCTTCTGGCCCAAGACTAGGACTAAAACTACACATCTGGATAGGTAATAAGCCTCCATCAGCTAAAAAGCATCATGTAGGTTGTACAGAGTTTGGAGAAACACGAAGTTTCTTTGAATTAAAAAAAAGTCAAAACCTGCCCTCTAGAAAAGTGTTATCAGTGTAAAAATCAAATAAATATAAACTACAACTCGAATCTCTCTTCCTTCTCCTGCCAGTGCCCAGAAGGGTCCATAGTCATCAATTTGTATTATTCATGACACTTTCTCTAGATGCAATATATAAGAAAGCTTCAATAGATGCATACAATCAATACAAATGATTTATCTTTATTTTCAAAAAACGTTTTATTAAAAAGATTTTTTTAAAGACAGAGTCTTGCTCTGTTGCAGAGGCTGGAGACCAGTGGCACAGTCATAGATCACTGCAGCCTCCAAGTCCTGGGCTAAAGCAATCCTCCAGCTGCAGCCTCTTGAGTGGCTGAGACTACAGATGCACACCACCAGGCCTGACTATGTTTTCCTGTTTTGTACAGATGAGAGTCTTTCTATGTTGGCCAGCCTGGTCTCGAACTCCTGGCCTCAAGCAATCCTCCTGCCTTGGCCTCCTAAAGTGCTGAGATTACAGGCATGAGGTACTGTGCCTGGCCTAATACCAACAGTTTCCTAAAAATGCTTGTTGGACCCATATTTGTGAGGGGAGAGAAATGATTGCTCATAAACATGTGTACTTGGAAAATTCGCAAATGAATATTGGTACTTTGATGCATTGCATAAGAATTCATTGAGCATCTGCTCCACACGAGGCAACATGTGTGTTTATTTGTGTGCAAAACAGCAAAGGGGGCTGATGTGGACTGCATTCCTTATTGGCATCCACACTCTTATGTGCACACAGCATATGTAATGTGGACGTCCATTTTTTATCTCAATTGGTTCCTTACCCTGGGTCTGTGGTGCCTGCTTGGCTTATTGCACGATGTGCAACGGTGCACCCAAGCCACCCCCACCCCCCCCCCACCCCCCCCCCCCCACCCCCCGCCTTTGCAGGACTCCTCGCTCTTCCCCCACCCCCTTATTTGGAAATTTTATTTATTATCTGTGGGGAAGTGTATTGTTTGGAGATTCTGGTTTCTATTTCTCCACTGGCTTTGACAGATACTCAGGGAAAGGGGGTGTAGGGGGGAGAAGAGAGCATTTGGTTTTGTTTTATGATATGCCGTGGAGGCTCCGTTAAATTCTCAGAGGCCTTTGGGCCCAGAGGACCATGTAAATGAAAAGGCAATGCTGATGGTTTATGAGGGCTTGTGGAGAGAGCCATAATGACACGGAATGAGTGTGGTCACTCTTTGTAACGTAAGCAGTGGAAATAGCAAAACTGGGTTTAATGTGGGCAGTCATTTTAACAGTGCTAACACCACAGTAGTCATTGTGATAGCAACTCATGGAATGCAAACATGAATGGGGTGCTAAGATGAGTTATACCACAGAGACTCCTTGATCCACTTCGGAGATCGCACTGCCTGGGTTTGACTCTGGCTTCTGCCACTGGACTCCTTTCCTATCTTTCTGAGCCTCAGTTTCCTCCTCTGCAAAATGGACAGCACCATAAGTATGCCTGTCTTCTAGGTTGTAGTGGGGACTGATAGAATGCCTGAGGCACTGTGCCTGGATGGTGAAGACTGAATAAATCTTTTCTGTGGCTTTCAAGCACAATGCATCCTCTTTGTAACACTGCTATGGAAGACATGATTTCATCTCTTTTTATGGATTAACTAACTTTTGTTAGACTATGTTGTCTCCCAGAGAAAGGTTCAAATCCTTGTTATCATGAATCCAATATGTCCAAAATCAAAATTACTTATCTTTTTTGTTGTTGCTGTTCTGCCCAATCCAGTATCCTCTAAGGTCTCTATAGAGTCTTTTGAAATGCATCATTTATCCCAGCCGTCTCCAACCTCAGTTGAACATAAGAATCTGCAGGAGAGTTTTTTAAACAGTACCCATGCCTGGTGTTCAATTGAAAGATTTTGGTTTAGCGGCCTTGGGATCAGGCTCAAGCATTTCCAGATGATTTGAATTCACATCCAGAGCTGAGACCAACAAGGTACATATCTGCCCAGGCGAGGAGCATTCTCCTTCCCCTGAACTCCTTCTCACTCTTGAAGAACCCTGTTGAACTCACTGTGGAGACACTTTTAACTTTTGCTTCCTCCTCTCCAACCTTGATGTCAGTTGCATGCTTGTCACTTCTCCATCAGACTGCTGAATAAACCACTCTCTTGGCTTCTGGACTTTCAGCATATCCCTCATCAATGGTCAACCTGTCCACCATTCTAGCTCCCCAAGTGCTCTTTGCAGCATGCATCTGATTACAGCGCTTAATCTCTCAATAGTTCGCCATCACCTATATGATTTAGTCCAACGTGCCAGCCTCTATTTGGAAGCCCTTCTAAATAGGCCCAGCCTGCCTTTCAGCCTCATCTGCAACCTCCTCTTCTGCCTGAATAATCACTATTTGATCATGCTCTTTCCACTGCATCTGCTTTTGCCCAGTGGTAACTCCTTGCACATTCCCCAGCCCAAGCCCCTCATCTACATCCCAGGCAATATGGATTGCTTCCTGGGGACTTTATAGCCTAATTTGATACGTGCTGTAGAAGTATGTACAGTATGGTTTTTATTTACATATCCGTCTCCCCCATTTGCCTTGGGAATTCCTCAAGTTCAAGGACTGGGTCTTATTCATCCACATGCTTATTCATCACCCCTCAGAAGCATTTGTTGAGCAGAACAAGCTGTATCACTTTCAGGTTTTACTCTGCAGCAGATTCTATTTTCCAAAGACTGCCATGGTGATGTCTTCCATTCTACATCTCCTTCTTCAGCATGACCCTGCCACACCATGTGGAGAGTCTAGCTTCTCTCTGCTTGAATACTGGCAGGGTTGTGATTATTTCTACCAACGGAATGGGGCACAAATGATGCTTTATGATTTCCAAGGTTGGACTATAAAAGTTAATGCAGCATCAGCTTTGTTCCCTAGAGCACCTCTGCTTCAATCCGTAAGCCTCCATGAAAAAGTCTGGCACCCCTGCGGCCACCATGTTGTGAAAAAGTCAAGCTGCATGGAAAGGCTGAATGTAGGGGTTCTGTCGACAATTTCATTTGAGCCCAGCCTCCAAGTGGTTCCAATCCAGCAATAGATACATGAGTAAAGAAACTTTCAGAATATTCTAGCCCTAGCCACCAAGTCACCTCTAGGCATTTGAATCTTTCCAGCTCGGATCTCAGACATTGTAGAGCAGCAGTAATCCACCTTTATGGTGCCAGTCTAAGTTTCTGACTCAGAATGAGCGACCATAGAAAATTTGTTTTTGGAAACTCCAAAGTATTGGGGTAGATTCTTATGCAACAATATCACCTAAAGGGCTCTCTTTTCTCCTTTGTTTGATATGTATCCCTGCCCTGGCTCTGCCTACCAACTTCTCCCCTATCATCCTCCCTCATCAGGATGTACCTTTACTGGACTTTCTGCTCCTCTATCATCCATACCTGGCTCCACTTCAGGACCTTCACCATTGCTGTTTCCTCTACCTGGAACAGTGTTCCCTCTGCCTGGAACAGTCTTCCCTGCCTCTTCCTACTATGGTGCATTCCTATCATTATTCAATTTTAATTCAAATATGTTTTATATGATATATATGTTACAAAGTATAAACATGTAAATAATTGACAATTAGACATTGTAAACATAGCATAAAAATTATATTTTATGTAATAGCCAATACATTCACAAAAACATGTGCAACATGGCTAAAATGAAAAATATTGACAATACTAAGTATGACAAAGATGCGGAACTGGTGGGAATGCAAAACAGCAGAGCCACTTTGGAAAATAGTTTGGCAGTTTCTAATAAAACTATACATGGAGTGATGCATACATATAAGCCAGCAATTCCACTCCTATGGGTTTATCCAAGAAAAAGGAAAACCCATGTTTACCTAAAGACATGTGCCTAAGTATTTATAGTAGCTTCATATGTAAGAGCTAAAAACTGGAAACAGCTCAAGTGTTCATCAACTGGGGGACAGACTAATCAACCATGGTTCATCCACACCACCCATACTATTCAGCCACAGAAAGGAACAGACTAGTGATAGTTGCAATGACACGGATGGATCTCAAGCATACTGGGCTAAGTGAAAAAAGCCAGGCATGGGAGTCTGCATTACTGTATGATTCCATTTTACCACCATCCAGAAAAAACAAAACTAGGGACGGGCGCGGTGGCTCACGCCTGTAATCCCAGCACTTTGGGAGGCCGAGGTGGGTGGATCACGAGGTCAAGAGATCGAGACCATCCTGCTCAACATGGTGAAACCCTGTCTCTACTAAAAATACAAAAAATTAGCTGGGCTTGGTGGCACGTGCCTGTAATCCCAGCTACTCGGGAGGCTGAGGCAGGAGAATTGCCTGAACCCAGGAGGTGGAGGTTGCGGTGAGCCGAGATCGTGCCATTGCACTCCAGCCTGGGTAACAAGAGCGAAACTCCATCTCAAAAAAAAAAAAAAAAAAAACTAAAGGAGATCAGTGGTTTTGGGGGGCTGTGAGGGCTTGGTGGTGGGGGGCAAATGGAGAGGCTGTAAAAAGATTCATAGGGACTTCAGGGGACAAAAAAATGTTCTCTACTTTGATTTGGTGGTAGTCATGCAATGGGACCATTCATCAGAACTCCTTGAACTATAATGTTACCAAGGGAGAATTTTAATGTATGTAAATTATCCCAATAAACCTGTCTTATGAAAAATCACTTCCTTAGGGAGGCCAAAGACTTCTCTGACCTTGTTTTATTTAAAGGATATCGTTGCCCATCACAATCTTTTCCTTACATGACTTTATTTTTTTGCATAGTACTTAATGATTTCTAAAATTATATATAAAAACATATTTTATACTATAAATTTTATATAAGTTAATAAGAAATATGCAATTTATATAAGTAAAAAATATATTTTACATAGAAATATATGATATATTTATATTAAATATAAATATATAATGTATGTATTATAATAAGATATATGTATTTTTATATAAATAAGACAATATAATATACTTATATATAAAAATAAATATATTATATATTTTATATAAATAAGCAATATATAATATATATTTATATAAATAAGAAATATATAATATATATTTATTATAATAAATAAGAAATATATGTATTTTTATATAAATAAATATGACATGTGTAATATATAAATAAAAGAAATTCATAATATATTTTATATAAATAAGACATATATAATATATTTGCATATTATATATATTTTAACTTGCTTATTGTCTGTTTCTCCTCTAGAATGGCTGACTCCTGAGGGGGGATTATATTCATCATGCTCACTTCTCTATCTCTAGTTCTAGCTCACCAAGTGGCAGATAATCGATGTTCAAAATAAATATTGAGCTAATGGAAAACAAAGTGGCTTAGGCAAACACATGCCGTGACCTAAGCTGTTAAAAACAATTTAAAAAAAAAAAATTCCGAACTGAGTTACTTTTGAACTAGGCAACTTCTCAGCCAGAGCCCACTCTCTGCCAGAAGAACCTCCAGCCTTTTCAGAAGGGGCAAATGTGGATGAGGAGGATTCCAGAGCGGCCTAGGATTAGGGGACAAGACGAGAGCTTCGACTTGTTTTGGACCCCTGGACAGCTCAGGTCAGGAAAGAAATCTCTGTCCCCCATGATTCTCTTCCTCCATGCATGGCTGTGGCAGGTTCCGTCCAATCAGGTCATAAAATATGGTCTGAAAATCTGCACCCTTTGGGTTTGGTTTTGTTTTGTTATTTTATTATAAAAAACTAAACATGTGGAACACAGATAATTTGGTTCCGCATGAGGTTGCCTTTGGCTCCTGCATCTAAGGAATTTAACAAAGGAAATATATACATAGCTATTTGGTATAAAGATGGAAAGTAAAGATTTACTTCAAAAGATCATTAGAGTAACCTCTCTGGGCAAGTTGTGATCAGTAATGCTGCCCAGATCATCATATTGTGGGCTTTTTAAAGAATCTGGAGGCAGTGGGGGACTGTAAGACTTTTGTTTTTGTTTTTTTAAATTAGCTTTAAAAGGAAGCGTAGAGTGATGGTAGAGCCAACCTTTAAATATCCTTCTTAGAATGGTTGGAATTGGGTTTCAAACCTTAATGTGCTCCCAGGGACAATAATACAGGCTGGAAAATAATTATTTTCCAAGCTCCAGAGCTGCTTTACCCCTCCATCTGTACTGTCCCTGGCCAAGTTAAGTTCCCACCCAGGGCACATTGCCCCATTTAATTCTTTTTTCTGCCCCTGCCTTCTTCAGCATTATAAAGGGGGTAGGTCCTTCATTATAAACTCTCAGGGATCATGCCAAGACCTCTGCTAACAGAACAGTTTAGAGTTTAGCCCTCAGGAACTTGAAAAGATGAGACACACCACAGTTCAAGTGAAGCCAGATTCCTCAAGTAGCAATAGGAAGCTATCCTTTTGTATCTCACTTCTTTCACTCAATGTTATGTTTGTGAGATTCATCTACATGTTTGAGAGAGGTTGTAGTTCATTCATTTTTCACTGTAGAATAGTATGCTCCTCAGTGAATTTGCCACAATGTATTTATCTCTTTCGCTGTGGATAATGGCCACTTAGATAGTTTCACTTGCAGGGCTATTAGCAACAGTGTTGCCATTAAGGTTCTTCTAGATACCTTGGTGAATATGGGCAGCACTTTTCCTCCAACATCTTTAATCTCCTGGCCCAGAAGCTCAGAACCCCTTTGGAGTCATGGACATCTTGGATAACTTGATGGAGGCTGAGCCCCATATCCAAAATATACAGACACATACACACAGACAGAGACAGAGAGACAGAGACAGACATTCACAGACATAAAGGCAAAAGTGTAGAGACATATGCAATATTGCATATCATTTTAGGGGGGTTGCAATGAGCCTCATGTGTATACAGGGACCACCTCAAGAACCCCAGCTGTACTCTGGTCTGGGAAGGGAATCAGAGAGACCTTTTCAGGGGTCCTGGCAAGCCATATCATAGGGGGAAACCAGAGAACAATAAGGTGAGTTTCCCTCCAAATCTGCTTCTGAATGCTTTTGTTTTTCCTCCTTGGTGCTGGGAGGTTTCCAGCCCCAGAGAGGGAGAAACAAGAGGTCAATTTCCCCAGCATAACTCCAAACCCCACAGCACTCCTGCAAAGCCTGCTGTGCTCTGTGTGGATGTCTGTGTTTGCACCAAGGGTGAGGGCAAGGCTGGAGCCAAGAATAACCCATAATTCTGCACACAGCAGATTGAGTTTCTTGTAGAATTTGCTCCCAGAGGAAACGGCAATGGCAGGAGCTGAGCATGGCTAAGGCCTCAGAGAGTGGATACACTATGTGTGTTGGAAAGCACCCACAGCAAAATTTGCAGACAGTGGGGTGCTCTGGGGGGCATGCACATGGGTTCAGGCATGCTAGGCAGTGCCATTCTTAGTCCTGGTCAACAGAATCCCTATGCTCTAAAGCCTTCTGCCCTGTCTTCTGGCTGTGCCCCCTCTTAAAGGCAGGGAGTTGGCAGGAGCCACTTTGCCCCATCATTGGTACTCCCATGTTCATGGCACCCAGAAACAGATTCCTGTCACTATACTACAGCTTGGCTACCTGGGATCACCAGGCCGTGGGTGATGCACCCTCTAGTCCCAGGATGCTGTGGTTCCCACCTATGTCTCTCTCCATTGCTCTGTGTACTTCTTGTCTGTTGCTCTCCGGCTGCTTCTGTGTCTGTTTCAGTATCTCACTGAGCTTTGTTTTCCTGTATGCATCTCTTCCTCAGGCTCTTTCCTTGATGCTCCTCTCTCTGTGTTTATCTCTGTACATCTCTCTCTGATGTTCCTTCCATCTTTACTTAGCCAACAAGCCTCTTAGCACCTTCCTGTCCCCCCATAATTGGCCATTGGGGACAGCTGCCGGCAGTGACACCAGAGCCCTTTTGTGCCCACTTTGCCTTCCTCCCTCTGCAGCGCCAGCCCTGGACCACTGCTGGAGAGGGAGCTGCAGAAGGAGCTCAGCTCTCTTTGAAAAGACCTTCACCCGCTTTCTCGCTCCAAACTCCAAGGCTCCTTGCCGTAAGGGGGAGGGGAGGGCTTCGTAACAGCCTCTAAGCTTCTTAAAACTAGGTTTTCCATGAATTCTTAAAAAACGTTTTTCGATCCTTTTAGCCCTAGGGCAGGAAGAAGACTGGAAGCTCCCTGCAATCAATTGAATCAGTATTTCCCAGGCATCCTGAAGAGGCAGCTCCCGGGACCAGTCTTCCCTGCACCAGCTTCCCATGTTGATGCCTCATCTTAAAGGGAAGGAGAGGGAGATCGTTTTGAACTCATTCCCCTTCCCCAGCTCCCCGCTTCAGGAATGTAGGTCCTGGAGTCTAGAAGGAAAGGACTGGGGGACAGAGCCCCGAGTGTGAGGAGGTGGTCTCACTGGAACCCGGCACAGGCGGAGCTTCAGGGGCACCCAGGTTTTCCTGCTCCGAGTGCAGGGTCGCATCGGAGCCCCCCAGCTAATCAGCCGCGCCTGCAGGATCTTGCCTTCTCCAGAAGGTGGAGAAGGCATGAATTTTTAAATTCCCCTCCCCTCCCGGACCAAATGGGGTGAGATTACGACAGGCCAAACCGTCTCTTCAAAAATTAAGATTGGGAGCGGTTCCATTCCAACTCATATGACCGAGCAGAGAATATTGCAAAAACTTTTCCAAGTTGCGCAAAAAAACGGTTCCACTCCCGGCTCCCGCCAAGCCTCCCGAAATGACTGCAAGCTTTTGCACGTCCCTGAAGGGCATTTTTCCAGGCAGACGGTCCATAGCCCTTACTAGATTTTCAAAGAGCTACGCGGAGCCCACCACAACCACCACCAAAAGGGTGAAAAGGTTAAGGACCCTTACAAAGGTACGCAGCGCCGCGATTTCAGTTCGAAAGAAAACCTCTGCCTGCCTACTGGCCTTGCTTTTTTTTTTTTTTTTTTTTTTTAATCTCCCTCCCCTTCCTCCTCCTCCTCACCCCACCCCTTTTTTTTCTTTTGCAACTTTTCTTTGACATTTCAAAGCCTCTCCTGGTTTCGATTTGAAGCTCCCGGATAAAATCGATCAATTTCAGGAAAAAAAAAAAAAAAAAAAAAAAAAAAACACCACAAACGAAGGATTCCGGTTCTGGAATTCAAAGTCCTGTCCCTTCGGCGAGGGCGGAGCTGGAGGCAGAGGCAGGCGGTCATCAAAACTTTGTTCGGGCAGGCACCTCATTTTCCCCCTGCTTCCCTCTTCCCCAGACTTTTTTCCCCCCAAAAGACAGAGGGATCAAAGAAAAAGGTTTAAGGTTTTCGGCTAGCGAGCACCAGGCGCCCAGCGCAGTTGGGGTCGGGGAAGCGGGACGTTGACCTTGCCCCGCCCACTTGGCAGCGGGAAGCCCCCACATCTGTTTACTACCTGAATCTGAGACCTCAGGTATTTCAGGAAGCCGGTCCGGCAACTTTAAAAAGACTGAGAGGTGGCCAAAGTCATAAACTGGAAGACAGAAACCGACTCTTGGATCTGAGACCTCATTCCTGTTTTATTGATTAAGGAGAGCAGGCTAGATGGAGTTAGAAACAAGATGGAAAGTTGAAAGGTCCCACCCAAGTCCTCTTCCGCTGGCCTTCGCCTTCCAAACAGCCTCTGCGCAGCTCACCCCAGCACATCTCTGTGGGGAAGGGGACGCCAAGGAAGGGAAGGTGGAAATTTGTGAATGTGGCCCTTACAGGAAATTCAAAAGGAATAAGACTAAGGGGGCAGGATTAAATCTCATTTTATCTGGTAACGTTGTGGGCTGCAGGTAAGAGGGCGCAATCCTGGTAATTGATTTTTTTCTTGATTTAAAATTCTTACATTTTGTTCATCGTGGGATTTTTTTTTTTTTTTTTTGCATTCATTTTGGCTTTTTAAATGCACTGTCTTAAAATATGATCTGTCTTGATTACCGAGATAGTTTCACCGCCTTATTTGCCCCATGCGAAGCCTCATTCTGGTCCCTGCCCGCTTAGCCAGGACAGCTGAAAGGGGCCCTCGAAGTCCAAGTCTTGGCCAGCAAGCATTTGAGTGTTTGGGTATCACTGAGAGGAACAGGCATTTAGGAAATGAAGAGGAGACAGAGAAAATTTTAAGGGTGCTGAGCTTCTTTTCTGATTGGAATCCCTGGTCAGATCAAGGCAAGAGAGAAATCTCATTTTCCTCCCCTAAGACGTGACTCCGTTCACTGTGACATTTCTGGCTGTGATTGAGAGCAGGGAGGCTCGGCCATCTGACGTGAGGTCAGGGGCCTGGATTTTGTTCCTGGGAGCCCAAATCAAACTTACTGTGTGGCCTGGGACAAGCTGTGCTGTGCTGAGACTGTAGCCTCCTTAGGAGATTTTGTTTTTTAATGGAAGAGACCAGCCAGAGATATCCAGAATATGTTAAATAAATCAGTTTTCCAAAATTCTTCTTGGTTTGAGAGTAGGTTCCCCCTACAAAGCCTCTATTTAATTAAAAGGCTTGTAATAATGCCTAAGCTTTACTGTGTTCGCCCCAAGTTAGACGCTTTGCCAATCGTTTTTAAAGCATTATCTCTTTTAATCTTTACAACAGACCCAGGAGGTAGAAATTATCTTTCATTCCTATTTTACAAATGAAGAAACTGAAGGCAAGAGCAGGGAAGTGATTTGTGTACAGCAGCTGAATGGTGGGCTTCAGAGATCAGGCAAGTTTCCTCTAAAGATCCCGTTCTTACACACTACATGTCAGTGGAAAATTTTCAGCATTTGCATTTAAGAACATTTGAGGACAATGGAAGTGTGAATGGGTTTGGAGAGAGAAGGCCACCTGCTCTAGAAGAAGCCACCTCAGGATCTGCATTTCTGTGCCGTCTGCATTCAAATTGCCCTTCAGAGCGGCTTCTTCCTTGCCCGGTTCATATACCCCAGAATGAACTACACCACCATCCAAAAACAGCTGTTTTTTAGCCAGTAACAACCTAGGCATGTACTCTGTGTACCAGAGCATTTTCAATAAGCCACAGATCCTCAGGCTGACAGAGAAGCCACTGGAGGTTGAGAGCCAGGCACGGGGGATCAGGCACACAGAAAACATAAGATGAGAAACTAGGAAACAGGGCATGTCCTGATGCTGCCTAAAATTCCAGGAAAAAAGGCATTCAGGGGTTAGAGGAATGGGTGCCGCAGCATGAGAACCGTGGAGAGGAAACAATGGTGGTTGGTCCCCGATTCACAGCCTTTGGTATCTCTAGGGTATTTGTTTTTGGAGAAGAAACATCTGTGAGGGTAAAACACTTCCTGAGTGAAGCAACTGTGTCCCACAGAAGCAGGGATATATCTGATTTTGTATGATGCCTTCAATGCAGAAGTACTTTTAGTTTTTCATACAAATATTATTATTATTATTATTATTTTGAGACAGACTCTCACTCTGTCACCAAGGCTGGAGTGCAGTGGCGTGATCTCAGCTCAATACAACCTTTGCCTCGTGGGATCAAGTGATTCTCCTGTCTCAGCCTTCTGAGTAGCTGGGATTACAGGCACGCACCTCCATGCCCTGCTAATTTTAATATATTTTTTTAGTAGAAATGGAATTTCACCATGTTGGCTAGAGTGGTCTCAAACTCCTGACTTCAAGTGATCCACCTGCCTTGGCCTTCCGAAGTGCTGTGATTACGGGCATAAGCCACTGCACCTGGCTACAAATACACTTTTAAAGGTCTTTCAGATTTGGGGTTCAAACAAAAAGGTCGTCAGAGATCAGATTGGCAGCTGGAAATAGATGACCTGTTACAAAATCTGAATTGTCTTTCCCTGTTGTTAATGATAATAATAACTTTAATTCGGAGAGTGCTTACTCATAAATGCTTTAATAAACACATTTCTCCTTTTATCTTCAGGTCATAGCTCTATGATAGATAGATATATTAACAAGTCGTTCCTTTTCACCTGTAAAGAAACTAAAGCCCAGCAAGGTTAAGTTGCTCACCCAAAGTCACACAGCAGTAATAAAAATAATAGAGTTCCAATTAAGTTTTTGTGGAACCCTAGACTCATGTTTCTATCCCATTCCACGGCCAGGGGCAAAGCTCATGGAACATATTCAACAATTTGCAAGGCTGTCCAGACGGTGTCAGAGATTCAAAGAGTCTAAGAAATGCCACATGTAATTTCGGAAGGCAGCCCCCAAAAGTTATCGCAATCCTTTCTCCTGGCCAGGAGGCAAGAAAGGAGCAAAGAATTGCTGTCCAGGATAGCCAGAGTATTAAAAAACATGGGGCCAAGGAGATACGTGCTGAGGAACAGACTGCAATTGACTGAGAGACACGGTCCCCAAGTGAGATTTCCCAGTGACTGTCACTTGGCCCAAACAGATGGTATCATCCAATCTGTTTGAGCCAGAACTTAACAGAGTAGTCAACATTTGCTGAGAATCTGTGCACCATTTTTTTTAACCAAAGTGCTACATCATTTCTCTTTCTAATAATCCAGTGGAGAATTGTCTGGACAACCATGCACAGTTGTGCAGGTCATGCACTGCACAAAAAGGATGTCATTCACATCCCTCTATCCTTGCCTTTGTACGTTTATATATATACAGCTACCCTCAGTATCCATGGGGCACTAGTTCCAGGACTCCTTGCAGATACCAAAATCTGAGGCTTCTCAAGTCCCTGATATAAAATGGCATTGTATTTTCATATAACCGACTCATCCTTTCGTATGCTTTGAATCATCTCTAGAATACTTTTAATACCAAATACAATGTAAATGCTGTGCGAATAGTTAATATATCGTATTGTTTAGGAAATAATGACAAGAAGAAAAGCCTGTATGTGTTCAGTACAGACACTTTGGTTGTTGTTTTGAGTATTTTCCATTTGCAGTTGGCTGAATTCATGGATTCAGAACTTACAGACAAGGAGGGCTGACTGTATTTATTACAACCGTTTACCAGAAGATGGCAGTAAGGTGTCTTGTTTTAATGATAGTATATTATGACAGAATTCCAATGTGGAAATAAGGTGGCTTGAGGAAAGGGTGGCTTTTTCTAATTACATAAAGACACAGTATGGGTAATGACCCTGGTTATGATCATTTCCTGCATTCACAGCTGGGCTCGCTGAGATTGAGAAGACTGGAGTGCCTGACTTAGGTTCACAGAACTGGTTAGAAGGTAAGTCAGCCCTCAAACAAGTCCGTAGTCTGGGCTTCCACTCACTATATTGGGGCTCCTAGGAGGTTGAGAAACAATTTGGAATCACCCATATCTAGGTTTGACCTTAACCTCTCCTGTTTAAAGATGTTGTAACAAGTGATTCATACCCTCTGAGCACTGGTCTCCACATCTGTAAAATGGGTACAATAATAGTCCCCACCACAAGCCTAAAATTTATATGGAACCACAAAGACTTTGAATAGACAAAGCAGTTCTAAGTAAAAGGAGCAAAACTGGAGGCATCATACTACTTGGCTTTAAACTATGCTATGAAGCTATAGTAACCAAGACAACATGTTAGTGACATGAAAGCAGACACATAGACTGATAGAAAACCCAGAGAGGAATCCACACATTTACAGTCAACTCATTGTCAGCAAACCTGCCAATAACACAATGGGGCAAGGGTAGTCTCTTCAATAAATGGTGCTGGAAAACCTGGGTAAGCATATGTAGAAAGAAAAAACCAGAGCCCTATCTCTCACCATAGATAAACATCAAATCAAAATGGATTACAGAGTTAAACATAAGACCTGAGATTTTTAAACTATTAGGAGCAAACCTTGAGGAAATGCTCCAGGACATTGGTCTGGGTAAATTTTTTGTGTAAGATCTCAAAAGCACAGGCCCAAAGCACTCAAAAGGCAAAAATAGACAAATGGGATTACACCAAGCTGAAAGGCATCTGTACAGCAAGGTAAGCCATCAACGAACTGAAGAGACACCCCACAGAATGGGAGAAAATATTTGCAACCTACATCTGACAAGGAGTTAATAACCAGAGTATCCTGCAGGAGCTGGATTTAAAATAAAAATAACCAGAATACATAGAAGTTCTAACAATTCAATAGAAAAAGGGAAAGGAAGGAAGGCAGGAAGGAAGGAAGGGAGGAAGGCAGGAAGAGATGGAGAGAGGGAGGGAGGAAGGAGAAAAGACAAAAGAGGTATACTAAAAATTATTCAATAATACTAATCGTCAGAGAAATGCCAATCAAAACCACAGTGAGATATCATCTCACCCCAGTTAAAATGACTTTTATCAAAAAGACAAGGAAGAGCAGACGATAAGGAGAAAAGTAAACCTTTATACACTGTTGGTGTGAATGCAAATTAGTATAGCCACTATGGAAAGCGGTATAGAAGCTATTCAGAAAACTAAAATTAAGCCAGGTGTGGTGGCTCATGCCTATAATCCCAGCACTTTGAGAGGCCAAGATAGGCAGATCACCTGAGATCGGGAGTTTGAGACCAGCCTGACCAACATGAAGAAACCCTATCTCTACTAAAAATACAAATTAGCCAGGCATGGTGGCACATGCTTGTAATTCCAGCTACTTGGGAGGCTGAGGCAGGAGAATTGCTTCAACCCAGGAGGTAGAGGTTGTGGTGAGCTGAGATCACACCATTGCACTCCAGCCTGAGCAACAAGAGTGAAACTCCGTCTCAAAAAAAAAAAGAAAGAACGAAAGAAAAAGAAAAAAAATTAGCTGGATGTAGTGACAGTCACCTGTAATCCCAGCTACTTAGAAGGCTGAGGCAGGAGAATCACTTGAACCCAAGAGGCGGAGGTTGCAGTGAGCAGAGGCTGTACTCCAACCTGGGAGACAGAGTGAGACTCTGTCTCAAAACAAATGAACAAACAAGCACAAACAAACAAACAAAACCCTAAAAACAGAATTTCCGTATGATCCAGCAATTCTACTTCTAGGTATCTATCCAAAAGAAGGCAAATCAACATATTGAAGAGGTATCTACACTCCCATATTTATTGTAGCACTATTCACAATAGCCAAAATATGGAATCAACCCAAGTGCCCATTAGTGAATAAATGGATAAAGAAAATGTGAGATATAGATATGTACCTCACACTGGAATATATATATATATTCATAAAATGGAATATTACTCAGACATAAAAAAGATGAAATTCTGACATTTGCAGCAGCGTGGATGGACTGGAGGTCAATGTGTTAAGAGAAATAGCCAAGCACAGAAAGACACATGCGTCACATGTTCCCACTCACATGTGGGAGCTAAAAAAGTGAATCTCATGAAGATAGAAAGTAGATTTGTGGTTATCAGAGGCTGGGAAGGGTGATGGGGAGAAGAGATAAAGAGAGGTTGATTAATAATAAAAATATACAGTTTGACAGGAGAAAGAAGATCTAGTATTTGATAGATCAGTAGAATGACGAAAGGTCACAATAATTTACTGTATATTTCAAAATAGCTAGAAGAGAACAATTTGAATGTTCATAGAATAAAGAAAAGATGGATGTTTAAGGTGATGGATAGCCTGATTACACCGATTTGAGCTTTACAAGTTATATGAATGCATTAAATTATCACATGTATCCTGAAAACATGTACATCATCTATTATGTATCAATTTTTTAAAACTTTAAAAATAATCCCTACTGCAGGAGAAAAGAGATAATATAAGCAAAGTGTTTCATTCAACACCTGGCATGTAAACACTGGCTAGCATTATTATGAATTGTGTCTGATTTGTACATAGTTGAACCTTTTTCTTTCATGTGTCTTGAGTGGAGGGATTCCAGACCAAACCCTACCTCCCAGCACACAAGTTTGGGAATGTTCACAGGCTTTCTAGTCATCGTGGTTCCTGGAAGGGTCTCTTGTTTGGGGACATTCTGTCATTTCTATTTTCAGTCCTATTTTTCTTCAGTTTGCAGCTGGATATGGAGGAATTATTGGGAGGGGGGCATCTAGATGATTTGTCCAGCTGTGGCTGCCTTCAGTTCTCTAAGACACAGAGAGAGAAAGGAGGAAAGAAAGACAAAGAGAAGGACCTAGAGGGAGATTGTCAATCCAGCAATATTCACGAAGCCCTAAATTTATTTTGCAAATGATGACTTTAATAATTCAAACCCAGCAAATGGCCGGGAAAGCCAAGTACCACCTCATTCAGCACCTTAGTGACATTCAGAACTAAGAAACCTGTCCTCTCATTTCAGCCTGATGATGTCACCAGATGCAGATGATGGAATTTCCACAACCTACCCCCAACAACAAAATCAAGTTATTAAGACCGCTGGGGAACTTACAATTCTTAACATTTATTATATAATTGTTATGATTATTACCACTCTAATTTATTTCCCTACTTAAAAATGTTCTGGCAACTGTAACTCATTTTAGTCTGATCCTCGCAAACTGGGAGAGCTCGGATTATTTAGAGAGAGAGAAAGCGCGCGTTTAGCCAGGTGCGTGAGTCTCAAATTTCCTCAGAATTGCTGCAGGGCCTCACTCAATATAGAAATAAGCAAAAAACAGTGTGTGCATTATATCAATATTATGATAATGCGCACCGAACGCAGATCGTAAGTGATTAATTCAGTCATTTTCCAAGTTTATCCCTGGGGATTTAGATCCTAAAGAGCCCTGAATGAACACATGCACACACATAATCCCATCTTCCACAGGCTCTGTGGAAAAACACTTTAATGCGAAATGAGGGATGAGAAATTAGGTATATATAGTAGGAAAAGCAGCTTTTTAATTGTAGGCTTAGTCTTGTCTGTAACCTGTGGGCGAAGCGGGGGGACTCGGGAGGTATAAAGGAAATAAAAGTAGCTGAATCATATCGTTATGTGGTATTTCACCAGTATGTTAATATTATAGAAATGAAAAGCCCTTATGTGGAGAAGTTTGCATCTGAGCTTAAACTGAGTATTTGATCTGAAGGGCCTGTGAGTAGGAAAAGAAATTGGACTCCTACATGGACAGTTAAAATGCCAGTAGATTTATATTAATTGAGCCATTGACTGGTTTATGTTTAGTAAATGTGCTCCCCTGTTATAATGATGATATTAATATTAAGGAGAATTTGTTGAGTAGTTACTATGCTCCATTGTGCTAAGACAGTGGTTCTCAGTAGGGAAGGTGGTGATGTGTCCCTCCTCCCTTCCCCAGGGGACATTTGACAATGTCTGGGGACATTTTAGGCTGTCACAGCTAGAGTGCTGCTGGCATCCAGTCAATAAAGGTCAGGGATGCTGCTACTTATTCTGCAATGTACAGGACAGTCTCATCACAGAGTATCTGACCCCAAATGTCCATGTGCCAACAAGGAGAAACTCAGTGCTAAGGCATTGCATAAATCAACTCATTTAATATTTGCGACAATTTTTCAAACTAGCATAAATCAACTCATTTAATATTTGCGACAATTTTTCAAACTAGATATTATTAGTTGCCCCATTTTACAGATGAAGTAATGAGGCTTGGAGAAGTTAAAAGGACTGTCCAAGGTCATTCAAGGACTGTGGAAGGCAGTGAGAAAAAGACTCACCTCTGGTCTCTGTTCACTGCTGGAAACAAGGCAGAGAAATGCTCCCAGGTAATCCACGTGGTTCCCGTCTCACACTCCCATGCAAGCTGAGGTGTGTATTCCATGGAAGAGTCTACCTCCAGCTACCTGCCAAACCACCTCTGTATAAACAGAAACTAAGCCAAGCCCGGTAGACAGGTACACAATACTATCCGCCCTGAGCAAATTCTGAAAGACGATCAACCAATCTATCAGTGCTTATCTCCAGGGTAAGATATGGGAGACTTTATTTTTTGCCTTATTCATACATTGAGCATGTAACAATTTCATGATCAGAGCAAAACAGTGATATTAAAAGTATGTAGACAGCTTATGTAATAATGTGGGAAATAATTGTGGCGAGGGAAACAAGATAAACAGATGCATATTCTGTGGCTACTCTTGCTTCTATGAGAATGTAAACAACCATAATGTCAGCATGTCCACCTTGATGAAGGAAACCTGGAAGTTGGGAGCCCTCACTTTCTTACAATGTAGGAAATGAATGCTTTCTTTCTTTTTTATACCTTGTCTATTAAATGGACTTACTGTATACTAATATATTTTCACTATTTTTCATAAATTAAATTATGTCTACAATAATAATACAGACTGCCTCTGGATTAATTTTATTTATTTATTTATTTATTTTGAGACAGAGTCTCTCTTCATCACCTAGGCTGGAGCGCAGTGGCTTAGTCTCAGCTCACTGAAACCTCTGCCTCCCAGGTTTAAGTGATTCTTGTGCCTCAACCTCCCGAGTAGCTGGGATTACACGCATGCACCACCACACCCAGCTAATTTTTGTATTTTTAGTAGAGATAGGTTTCACCATGTTGGCCAGGCTGGTCTCTACTTCTTGACCTCACGTGATCTGCCTGCCTCAGCCTCTCAAAGTGATGGAGTTACAGACAAGAGCCACCATGCCTGGCCCAGCCTCTGGACTAATTTTAAAAACACATTGATTGATTGATTGAGGCAGGATCTTGCTCTGTCACCCAGCCTGGGATGCACTGACACAATCATAGCTCACTGCAGCTCAAACTCCTAGGCTCAAGAGATCCTCCCAACTCAGCTTCCCAAGAAGTTTGGACTACAGGTATGAACCACTGTGCCCCGGTTAATTGGATTTTTACACAAAAGAGTGTAAACATTTAACGTATATTTTTCTGAGATGTCTTTCCATAGTTTTCTATAGATTCTCAAAGAGGTACAGGGGAATCCAAAAATAATCATTGCAACTAACATGTATTAAGCACTTAGTTTCAAGAACTATGCTAAACATTCCACATGCATCATCTCACTTACTATTCTAATAACCTTACCAGGTCAATAATATTTTTAACCTTATTTTACAGATAAAAGACAGAAAGACTCAGAGAGGTTAAGACATTTGTCTAAAGACCCACAGCAGCAGAGCCGGAATTTGAACCTAGTTGCATCTAGCTTTTAACAGAGCTTTAATTGTCCACCTCATTAAAAAAAGTTAAGAAGCAAGGATTCATTTATTCATTAGGGCCCTTCCAAGTGTGCCATTTTATTATTTTCCAAGGCAGTTTTAGGGACATGTGAAATAGAACCTCATGCATCTAACAAGAATTCTTCCGCCTAATAGCTAGGGGACACTGGGTATGTGCACAGTGAGAAAAAAGACTCGCCTCTTGTCTCTGTTCACTGCTGGAAACAAGGCAGAGAAATACTCCCAGATAATCCATGAGGCTCCTTTCTGGGGGGTGGGGGTGGGAGAAGGTGACTTTCATCAAGTTAGAAGGGGTGAAAGTGAGAACTTGAAGAGTACAGGGTGGAGACAAGCGTTTGGAATGGTCGTGGTGGTTTTAAAGCTGCTTTAAAAACACTAACAAATCTGACGGCAGGCTGGGAGGGTGGACCCGTCAATCAAGGCAGGGATTGTAAATAGTGTGTTCCCCTTTGGCGAGACTCCTAATTAACCACAAGCCACCACATCCTACATCTGAGATGTGTCTTCCATTATGGCTCATTGGAGGGTGGAAGAGGGTGTTAAATACGTCGATGCGGTGAGAGTAGACGGTGGAGAAGCCTACAGTGGGTTATTACCTGGAAAACAGTGGCCGGCTTTGGTTGCCCAAGGTCAGGGTGAAAGGAATAAGGAGACTTAGATTCAAAATAAGGAGACTTAGATTCAAAACAACACCAGGACTAGGGTAAGGAGAATGAGGTACTCTGCTTCTAACGCAAAATTTAAGGAAGCACTGAAAACCTCAGTAATCAAGATAAATAGTATTTTAATGGAATCTTTTTTTTTTTTTTTTTGAGACGGGGACTTGCTCTGTCACCCAGGCTGGAGTGTAGCGACATGATCGTGGGTCACTGCAACTTCTACCATGCAGACTCAAGCAATTCTGCCACCTCAGCTTCCTGGGTAGCTGGGACTAGGGGCATGAGCCATCATGCCTGGCTAATTTTTGTGTTTTTAGTAGAGACAGGGTTTCACCATGTTGCCTAGGCTGATCTCAAACTCCTGAGCTCAAGTGATCTGTCCACCTAGACCTCCCAAAGTGCTGGGATTACAGGTGTGAATCATTGCACCTGGCCCAACATTTTTTAAAATACAAAATTAATGCACAATAATCTGTGATTTTAAATATCATTTAGATTTTAAACATGAAATGAAAATAAGATCTTATAGGTCCAGGATTGAGGTAGGGTGAATAAGATGAAGTGAGGCAGGATCAGATACTAGTTTTATTTAAAATTGTTGTTAAACAATTTTAAAAGAAATTCCAGTCACTGTGTTATTTCACCCCTACAATAATTTAGTGGGCATCTCTAAAATGGGCAGCCTTTTACATAACCTCAATGTAGTACTGCATGAACAACCTTAACTTGCTATCATCAAATGTTGAGTTTAGAATCAAATTGTCCTAGTTATCTAAAAGAGTCTTTCATGATTGCTTTGCTCTAACTGGGGTCTGAAGTGCACACAGTTACATTTGGTTGAGATAGCCCTTAGTTATCTTTCATACAGAGTATCCTTCCTTTTCTTTGCACCATTGCCTTATTGCAGAAACAAGTCACAGATGATGCTGTGTGTTCTGAATGTGTCTGTTTGCTTCTTATGATGATATTGTCTTATTTATTTCCTCTATTGATTTCCTCTTTTCCGTTTCATTGACTTTTCTACTATTTTTTTCAATAGAGACAGGATCTTGCTATGTTGCTCAGACTGGTCTTAAACTCCTGGCCTCAACCAATCCTCCTGTCTCAGCCTCCTAATGTTTGGGATTATAGGCATAAGCTATCACCCAACCAGCCAGTCCTTCGCTTGTCGTTGTTTTTCTTCTGCTGCTTAATCTGAATGTGTTTTTTCTTCTTTTTCTAGTTTCTAAAGCTTCCACCTTAGATTATTTATTTTAGATCTTTCTTCTTTCCTGTCTGCACTCAGTGCTACAAATCTCCCCCTAAGCCCAGCTTTTGCTGCATCCCACAAATTTGAATAAGTTGTATTTTTATTTTCATTTAGTTGAAATATTTTTAAGTTTCTCTTAAGCTTTCTTTCCTCTTAAGCTTTGAGAAGCTTGATCCATGTATGATTTAGAAGCATGTTGTTTAATCTCTAAGCATTTTGAAATTTTCCAGTTATCTTTCTGTTCTTGAATTGTAGTTTCATTATCTCGTGATCCGAGAGCAAATATTCTATGGTTTCTATTCTTTTAAATGCATGCAGATGTGTTTATTGCCCAGAATTTGATCTAGCTTGGTGAATGCTCCATGTGACCTTGAGAAGAAATGTGTATTCTGTTATTGTTGGGCGAAGTGGTTTATAGATACCAATTATATGCCGTTGACTGATGGTGTTGTTAAGTTCAACACGACCATACTAATTTTCTGCCTGCTGCATCTGTTCGTGACTGAGAGAAGACTGTTGAAGACTCTCAACTGTAATAGTGGCTTTTTCAGTTTCTCCTTATGCTGTACCAGTTTTTGCCTGGCATATTTTGACTTTCTGTTGTTAGATGTGTGCTCATTAAGGACTATTATGTCTTCTTTGAGAATTAACCTCTTTATCATGATGTAAGGTCCCAGTGGTGTCATTTAATGGATCTCCCAAACCCTTGTATTTCTAGTAAATAGCAGTGAGCTCTAGAAACTTGTGGTGGACATTGTCTGGGTCCCATGCCTGTCCTCTTGACTTTACCACACTAGCACACACCAGCCCACTGTCAACCAGCCGTGCTTGCATTTCCTTGCCTGAAGGCTTCTTTGTCTACCCCTGGCCAGAGTGCTAGGGATTCAACCCTCCCTTATTAGGAAATGTCCTTAATCAATGACTTATAGGAATTTCTAACCAAATGCTCCAGCTGCCCCATCCCTTGGGTGGGATGGTCCTGAGTGGCATAAGTTTACGCTGGCTGCCAGAATGCCCAGGCTGGGTTAAGCTCTAATCGCCCGCAGTGCTAAGTTGCCCGACAGCTCACCCTCTGCTGACTGCCTTTCCTTCACTGCCTTACTTCATTACTTCACTATCAGCGCTTTTTGAAAATACCTCTGAAATAGACGACATGTACTTGAATTCTCATCTTAAGACTGCTTCAAGTGAGACCCTGCTTCTATCAAAACAAAACAAACAAAAGCTGGGCATGGTGGCACCCACCTGTAGTCCCAGCTACTTGGGAGGCTGAGGTGGGAGTGAGGTGGGAAGATCGCTTAAGTCCAAGGGGTGGAGGCTGTAGTGAGCCAGGTCCCTGCCAATGTATTCCAGTCTGGGTGACAGCAAGACTCTGTCTCGAAAAAAACAAAAAACAAAAACACCTGAATGCTTCAGAGAGATCTCAAACTAAGAGGACAGTGAGACAGCTCCAGCATGAACCAACTTTCCTTGCAAAACAAACACACCTCTGTTAGCACGAGGTTAGCAATCCCAAGAAATGGCTTCAGCTCAATCACACTCATCAGTATATAATTTCTCACACTTTTTTTTTTTGCAATCTCCCCAGAGCCCAAAGTTGAATTAAAATCTTCATGTTTGTTTCCTATTTTAAAAAAATGTATTTGTTACTTCTCTGCAGAGTTCACAAGGGAAAAAAAGATTTTCTTATTCTAATTGACAAATAAAAATTGTATGTATTTATCATATACAACATGTTTTGAATTATGTATATATCATGCCATGCATGGTGGCTTACACCTATAATTCCAGCACTTTGAGAGACGGGAGAGAGGGTCACTTGAGCCCAGGAGTTCAAGACAAGCCTGGGCAACATAGTGAGACACACATCTCTAACAACAATAATGATAAAAAAAATTTTTTTTTAATTAGCCTGGTGTGGGTTTAGAGATGAATTGGGTTTCACCAATATGTGATTGGGCAGGAACTAGTCATTTCATTAGGAAAATTCTAAATGTCTTTTAAATTTTATTTTATTTTTATTTTGAGACAAGGTCTCACTACGTCACCCAGGTGGTGTGTGCTTGTAGTCCCTGTTACTCTGGAGGCTGAGGTGGGAGGATCGCTTGAGGCTGGGAGATCAAGGCTGCAGTGAGCAGTGATTGCACCACTGCAAGGTGAGCAACAGGGTGAGACCTCATCTCAAACAACAACA